TCCTACCTCTGTTGGGGAGGTGCGGAGTTTTATCGGCTTCGCCTCATATTATCGACGATTTGTTGCGGGATTCGCATCCATCGTGAAGCCCCTCCACGCATTAACGGCCAAAGGGGTCAAATTCCGTTGGGGAGAGTTAGAACAGGCATCGTTCAATGCCGTCCGAAAAGTACTGGTCGATGCTCCTACCCTGTCTTATCCAGATTTTACCACTCCGTTCATTCTAGATACAGACGCCAGCAACACCGGAATTGGAGGGGTGCTGTCGCAAATTGTCAATGGAGTGGAGCGCGTCGTCGCCTATGGCAGCTGGGTGCTGTCGCCCGCGGAGCAACGTTACTGCATAACGCGCTGCGAATTGTTTGCTATCGTTATTTTCATAAAGCAGTACAGACCATACGTGTATGGCAGGCATTTCACAGTACGCTCCAACCATGCGGCACTACAAACGGCCTTGCGAGTGGACCAACCATCTGGACAGCTTTCGCGTTGGCTCGAGATCCTCCAGGACTTTGCGTTCACTGTAATTTACCGCAAGGGGATTCAACACGGGAACGCCGACGGGTTGTCGCGACTGCCGACCAATGGGCGCTGTGCTTGTTTTTTGGGTGCGGGGCGTTGTAGGCAGCCTGACGGGGTACCGCCCCCATCCCTTGCGGCCGCGGCCGGGGATGGGGTTGGGGACCACGGGGCTCCCTCCACGCAAGTTCCGCAGGACGCATTGCTGGGCCTCGGGTTGGATGACTGGGGACGTCTTCAGATGGAAGACGTCTCCCTCCTCAAATTGAGACGCCGCGCTAGGGATGCCGAGGGTCACAGGAGGCAGGGGGGCCCCGTATCATATGTCATCCGGGAAGGCGTCCTCATGCATTGGGATGGGGGGTCCCAATCCCACACATTGGTGGTGCCCACCTCCCTGCGGGGGCGACTTGTGTGGGAAACCCACAGTCGCCTCTTGCACTTGGGTGTTCAGAAAACACTAGCTAAAATTCAATTGGAATTTTTCTGGCTGGGCATGGCAAACGATGTGGCTGACCTTGTGCAAGGTTGCACAGAATGTGCACGGCGGAAACCACCTGCTAGGCCGTCCTGCCCGCCGCTCCAATCCATTAAGGTTTCCCGGGTCAATGAGATCGTCGCATTGGATATTTTGGGTCTGTTTCCCGCTACTCCTCGGGGTAGTAAGTACCTTTTGGTTGGGGTGGAATAATTTACCCGATGGGCCATGGCCTGGCCACTCCCCAACCAGTCTGCAGCAGCCATTACGGAGGCCTTTTTCCAGGGCTACGTCCTGGATAAGGGTGCTCCCGAACGCCTGCTGAACGACCAAGAGAAAATGTTCTCTTCCACCCTGTTGCGGGATGTGTGCAACCTGCTAGGGACACACACCTTGCCATATCACCCCCAGACTGACGGTATGGTCGAGCGATTACATAGGACACTTACCTCCATGCTAAGCCACCAGGTGTCTGAGTCACAGACTGATTGGGATCTCCACATACCTGGTGTCTTGGCCGCCTATAGAATGGCGCCCCATACTGCCACAGGGTACTCGCCATTCTATCTTATGTATGGTAGGGAGGTTTGCCTCCCGATCGACGTACAATTGCACATTAAACAGCCCGCACCTAAGGCTAAGATTGCCGACCACATCCGTGCTAATGTGCGTCGTCTCGTGGATGCCCGGGAGGCTGCTCAAAATAACTCAGAAGTCCGTCAGCTTGCCAACGAGCGGTTGCGGAACCTCCACACGTCCCGCCACGTTTGGGTAGAAGGGGACCGCGCCTGGCTCCACTGCTCGCAGGTACCATTGGCTACTTCCTCAAAACTGCTTAAGCCTTGGAGAGGCCCGGTTGTTATTATTCGCGTTCTCCGCCCGCAGTGTGTCAGGATCCAGCATGGCAAGCGATGTTGGTTCGTGCACCCGTCACGTCTAAAACCTTACATTCAACCCTACACACCTCCTTCACTTCTCCGGGGCCGAGAGCGTGACATGTCTGACGAGCCGCGCCGCGATGATGCTGCTTCTAACTCTCGGCCAGGTCCCGCTGTCCCGCCCTCAGGTGCCTTGGGAATGAAACCCGCCACGGCCGACCCAGCGGGAACAAGCTTGCCCGCGGGATCAGCGACCCAGGACACAAGCGCAACAGCGGGCCGTCGGTCCCCTCCCGCCTCCGTCGCGACCGATGGACCTGCCACTCGGACTCGCTCAAAACTCAAACGATTTTCATGACCCCCGCCCACGAACTCTCGTCCCAACGCGACGCCACTCACCTTGCCATCATGTATAGTGGGCGATTGGGGCGTGCGTTCATCCTGCATATATGTGTTTATACAGTGTTGTTCTGCATCGGTGGCCTGGAGTTTTTTTTTATATACGCGTGACCACAGGAGGGGGAAAGGCGCTTTCTTCTCATTTTTTTTCTTGATTTGTCACACACTCATTCTGATGGGTAACAAATAATTTATTGTACAATTGTATTTTTTTTTGACAGCCGGGTCGGCTGGAGGCTACGTAGAGGGGGGTAATGTAGTGACATAAGAAGGGAGGGGCTGCTGGGGGCTCTGGGACCCTGGGTGGGCCAGGCGCTTAAGCCTCTTGGCGTCAGGCGTTGGGTTCCCAGGCGCTTAATCCCCTTGGCGCCGCCAAAGGGGGGGGCTGTGTGTGCTCTGTGGGATATCTGGGGGCGCACACGGCCCCACCTCTTGTTGGGGACTGGGCATAAAAGGGGAGCTCCCTGGACGATCAGGGCCAGTCGTAGCTCAAGACCCAAGACCCACGACCAGCCATCTGAAGACCCTGGGATGTTATGAGAGCGAGTGGTGGGACTCTGGAACTCCCGACTCTACGAACTTGTGAGGGCGAGTTCCAAAGCGTAGCCAGAGTAGAGTATCTAGGCTGTGTACCTAGGCTGTGTACCTAGGCTGTGTACCTAGGCTGTAACAGAGTATCAGGACTGTTGGAGTGTTGTATTGTAATAAAGAAGTTACCTCTACAAGTGTCTCTGGAACCCGTTACACACACACTAGCAATCTAAAGCAACGCAGTAAATTCAAAGAAGCAATGTTCTAAAGCCAACAGCCGGTCAACTTTAATCTTCGCCAGACACTTCACCACGGCCAATGCGCCAATATAAATTCCGCAACATTTAATGCTGCCTTGTGAAATACAAACACAACTCAATTAAATTGTCATGTCCATGCTCATTTCAGATTAAGACCGGTCGCACAAAAGCACCCATTTCAGGAGACAATTTAAAGTCCGACTTAACAGACATGTTTTACCTTCACCCATTAGACTAAAGTTCAAAACTTTCTTTAAAATTATAAACCTCTAAAGTGTTCAACCAAACGCGGTGTATACCTTGTGTACACACCATAAACATTGCAAGAATCGCGTATCAATTAACAAAACCCACATGCAGACTTTTTGGTTCTTCCGGTAAAGTCACGTAGAAGGGAAATAATAAAACATCATAAATGACAATTCTTACCACGTTTCGGCCACAACGCAAGCAGCCGCCCTCAGGTGAAGAACAGGTCTGTCGGAAAGACAGCGTCTGAATGAAACAGCACCAGGTTTGGCAGCGTATATTGCTGCGTATATTGCTGCCAAGCTTGGTGGTGTTCATTCAGACGCTGTCTTTCCGACAGACCTGTTCTTCACCTGAGGACGGCTGCTGCCTTGTGGTGAAGAACAGGTCTGTCGGAAAGACAGACGCTGTCTTTCCGACAGACCTGTTCTTCACCTGAGGACGGCTGCTTGCCTTGTGGTGAAGAACAGGTCTGTCGGAAAGACAGACGCTGTCTTTCCGACAGACCTGTTCTTCACCTGAGGACGGCTGCTTGCGTTGTGGCCGAAACGTCGTGAGAATTGTATTTTATTATGTTTTTATTATTTTATTATTTCCCTTCTATGTGACTTTACCGAAAGAACCAAGAAGATGAATCCCTGCAGTCACGAAATAAAGCTTTAAATCGAAACCCACATGCAGTCCTTAATGTAACGTTTCTTCAGACCCAACAACATTTTTTTTTTCAAATCAAACAAACCCCCGATATGTGTACGCTCTGGGTGGGAGCTGTGGTTCTCTGCAACCTGCAACAACAACAACAGCAGCAGCAGCAGTGAGCGGCATTAGCGACGTCAAGAAGCAACACGACAGATCGTGGTCAAACCCCGCAAAGGGCTGGATTGTCACTTGAAGAATTGCGTTCCGTCGTGCCGATTGTGGCCGACATTTCTCCAATCTCTAACGTGGGGCACGAGAGCGTTGACAAGCATCTGCCGTTTGAAACAAACTCCTCCACATCTTGACCTCAGCGGGTGAGACCCACGCAGCTGTGTGAGCGCTCGTTGATTTAGAAGTTGTTCACGATGTAATACGCAAATTGTATCGCACTGGTCAACAAACAAAACAACAACATGTAGTTCTGGCCTGGACTTTTGCAGCTGTTCTGGACTAATTTCAGGGTGCCGATTTCCAAATCTGATCTCAAGATTTGCTCCATCACATCTCATTTTTAAATCCTTTATATTAAGTTCGCTTGCTTGCGTGCTTGCGTGCTTGCTTGCTTACGACCGTGCAAATCTTTCGGTCGTTTTTTAACCCACTTCCCGTGATCCAATCGAGCTGACATTTTGCACACAGACTCGTTGTGCGAGACAATTAATGTTTGTGAAATTTTTTTTCCAAAATTTTACACTGTTTAGGGAAAAAAATTAAATATTTAATTACCAATTGCTTAATACTGGCAGACAATCATCTGACCCATAGGTGGCAGCCATCTCAAGCGAGAGGACGAGAGGACTCTAGCCGCCACGCATATAAAGGATTTATAGTGAAAAACTTTGTTTTTACGGGTTATACTTATTATGCTATCGGCATACCCCATGAAATGGTCTCTCTCTGATCCTCCACGGAGCAGCGTGTTCTCACGGGGAGAACCTCACAAGCAACATCAACAGACTTCTGTTATCGTGTTGCAGAGAGCCGCCCTCACCTGCCGGGAAGACAGCGTCTGAATCAACACCGCCAGGCTTGGCAGCGTATATTTAAGCTGGGTTAGAGGAGAGCGCCTTGACAAAGGGACTCACATATCAACAGAGGAATGTAGTTTATTTGTGGAAAATTCCGATATGGGATTAGTCACTACTTGTGGAATGTGTAGGAGGTGGGTGGGGGGGTTTCAAAGTCATATTATGCAGGATTAGCAGCATCGAAGGGAGGGAGTAGGGGTAGCATTAATAAAGGGAAGGAATCATATTCTTAGGTTTTTTTCGGTAAAGTCGCGTAGGTAAAAAAATTAAAATTATAAAATAAAAATCACGACGTTTCGGAGGCAACACAAGCTTCCGTCTTCAGGTGGAACCGTCACAGCCACGACAGCTGTATCAAGTAAATGTAATCTCGTAAATGTAATCTCTCATTTACTTGATACAGCTGTCGTGGCTGTGACGGTTCCACCTGAAGACGGAAGCTTGTGTTGCCTCCGAAACGTCGTGATTTTTATTTTATTTTACTTTTATTAATTTTAATTTTTTTACATACGTGACTTTACCGAAAAAACCTAACAATATGAATCCTCGCAGTCACGAAAGCTTCAAATCTAGAAAGGGAAGGAATGTTAATAGTACGGTAGCTGCAGCAGCTAAGCCACCACGTAAAAAAACGTAAATTTAAACTACATCAGTGTCATCAATATACTAAATATACTCTCCAAACAGGTCCCTGCGGGGTGGGCTGGTAGGAGCGAACAAATACGATACGAAGGGAGAGTTTGAGGCCTAGTTTTAGGCTTTAGGCCTAGCTGTAGGCTTTAGGCCGCTGTGAGTTACTTTTTAATTTAAATGTTTTAATTAAAAACTATCTCAGGGAATTATAAGGGAATGTTACACTTGTTTAGCCAGGAAAGCCTCACTGAGTCTAAAGGTTTTTGTAGGGTCCTGCCAAGTGTTTGCAGTAGGGGGCGATGTTGCTACACCTAATCGGACATCGGACGGACGGACGATATAATCTATTGTAGGCTGGTCCACTTCGTTCCTACCAGTATAAGCCGAGCTACTGTCACCGTCACCGCGGTCGTCACCTGTCTAGGCTGGACCTCGGCCGGCGGAGGAGGAGGAGGCTGCCCCCCCCTCCCCCCCCCGGCGGCTTTGGGCGCGACCGTAATTATAAACTACATCAGTATCATCAATATACTAAATATAGTCTCCAATAAGCTGAGCTGCTGTCACCGCGGTCGTCACCTGTCTAGGCTGCACCTCGGCCGGAGGAGCAGGAGGAGGCTGCCCCCCCCCCTCCCCCCCCCCGGCGGCTTTGGGCGCGACCGTAATTATAAACTACATCAGAATCATCAATATACTAAATATACTCTCCAATAAGCTGAGCTGCTGTCACCGTCACCACGGTCGTCACCTGTCTAGGCTGCACCTCGGCCGGAGGAGGAGACTGCCCGCCCCCCCCACCGGCGGCTTTGGGCGCGCACGGCCGCCCGTCCCCCCCCCACAGGGCCCCGCGTCGGCGGGAGCGGCGAGCGAGCGACGTGGAGAGGTCCGCCCCGAACGTCGCCACGTTCAGGCGCCGCTGCTCCGCCAACGTCACGCGGCAATTCCTGGCGGGGCGGGAGGAGGAGGAGGGGGGAGGGGCGGGGGTGGGGGGGTGAGCACGGCTGGTCAGAGGTCGCAGACGGATTTTGATTTCTTACCCGTACCCGGCCGCACCAGGGTCGCAAACGGGTACCCGTACCCTACCCGTACCCATACCCTACCCGTACCCTACCCGTACCCTACCCGTACCCTACCCGGAATGAGTGACAAACGGTGACTCACCAGTGACTCACGGCCTACCCGTACCCGGCCGCACCAGGGTCGCAAACGGCTACCATTGGAACCTCATTTGCCAGCAAAAAATATTATAATTGTTTTTTTACCCTTTTATCTGGCAACAAAACTGACACCTTTATTACAAGGAGTCATGTTTGCATAGACCACAATAACTGCAGCCATAATGCGTCATCTGGTCCAACCCATGTGAGACTAGGCTCTAAGGAAAGCTGTCTCGAGTATGGACCAATCAACTTCAAGGACAGTGCATATATTATCAGAGTTATGTTTTTTTTGCATTCTGACTGCAGGTATTGTGGTCAATGCAAATACGACTCCTCGTAAAAAAAGGTGTCAGTTTTGTTGACAGATAAAAGGGTAAAAAAACAATGATCATATTCTGCTACTGCTGATAAATGATGTTCCAATGGTCTAAACCCGACATCAGAGAGGTCTCTGCACGGCTGCACGCCATCCTGCGTCTAGACAAATGTTCGTCTGGTGCCCAGTCAAACAGTTGCACGTCCTTCTCTTATTCTCGGGGCTGGGATTTTTTCCGAATCAAGTGCAACTACGCAATTCACGCGGCGTGCAATTTTTTTTGGCGCGCCGATTCAAGTTAACGTCACACATTTTTGCGACGCCCAAACTTTCCAGATGTGCCAGGAACGGCACAAACAATTTGCCCAAGCTCTGTCATCCTATATTGGGATGGTTAGGCCAACTCCGTTTGTGAGTTTCTATACACGAGGTGGGGGGTGGGTGGGGGGGGGAACAGCAACACCATCTCCGCACAGACGGAGACGGAGCCCGCTTGCTGTACTGCCGCCTCCCCCATCGCCTCCCCCAGCAGGCGTTGCACTTGAAGGCGAGGAGATCTAACAAGAACACACACACACCACGAGCGAGCGGCAGAGACGGACGTTACCTGGAAATGTTGTCAAAGAAGCTCCTGGTTTTGTCGTAGAAGCAGCCGTCCAGGAAGACGGGGGAGCTCGTGCGGGGACCCCTCGGCTTGTCCGCTGCACAAGGGGAGACGCAACGGCAGAAGTGAGGGGGTCGCCTGGGCAATTAAACACACAAAGATCCGCCCCCCCCACCCAACCCAGACTCCACTGGTCAACACACATTCAGGCGCTGTCTCCTCGACAGACCTGGTCTTCGCCTGAGGACGGCTGCTTGCGTTGTGGCCGAAACGTCGTGAGAATTATTTTATGTTTTATTTTTATTATTTTATTATTTCCCTTCTACGTGATGACTTTACCGAAAGAACCAAGAAGATGGTCAACACACTTTTCCTGGCACAAGGTATTCCAACGGTTTTAAGGTAATTTAGTTAGTCAACATCTCCTAGCCACCGTGATGATGATGATGAGAGAAACACACAAACTCCAAATATACAGCAGCAGGCATCGTCAGGGTTGGGATCAAACCCACGCCCTCCTGCACACCAGGCGAGGTAGTTAACATCTCATAGCCACCGTGATGATGACAAGTTTGCAGTCGGTACCACATTGGGAAGTGTGTCAAATTTGAGTGACAAGATTTCTATTCTATGAGATCTCTTTTACCAGTGGCAAAATATAGTAGTAGGTTTTTACCCTTTTAAACTGGTACAAAACTGACACCTTTATTCAAGGCATCATGTTTGTAATAACCACAACACAAGTAGTCAAAAAACAAACAAAAAGAAGCAACTCTGATAATGACAGGACAGTGCATATTATTATCATTATCAGAGTTGCTTCTTTTTGTTTGCTTTGTTGACTACTTGTGTTGTGGTTATTGCAAACATGATGCCTTGAATAAAGGTGTCAGTTTTGTACCAGTTTAAAAGGGTAAAAACCTACTACTAAGATTTATATTTTGCCGATACAGCAGCGGAGGAAGTGAGTTGTTGGGTGGCGTCAGCGTGTGAGTGAGTGCCCCACCTTCTCTCCGCTTGGCCTCCCTGCCCCGGAACTCCCTGTCCAGCGCCTCGCGGTCCAGCTTCGCGTTGGCGCTCGCAAAGTCAAACTCCGCGTCCAACTCAACGCACGGCTCCGGGGCCCCACGGGGAGTCTGGGCGGCAATCCGCTTCGTGCTCCGACACCGTCGCTGCTGACGCTGGGGGGACGTCTGCACCCCCCGCTCCACCGTGGCGCTCTTCCTCGCGGCTGTGGGAGATAGTGCAGCTGCGTGTGAGTGTGTGTGTGAGTGTGTGTGTGAGTGTGTGTGAGTGTGTGTGCGTGAGCGTGAGTGTGTGTGAGTGTGTGTGTGTGTGAGAATGTGTGTGCGTGAGTGTGAGTGTGTGCGTGTGAGTGTGTGTGAGTGTATGTGCGTGTGTGTGTGTGAGTGTGTGTGTGCGTGTGAGTGTGTAAGTGTGTGCGTGTGTGTGAATGTGTGTGAGTGCGTGTGTGCGCGTGTGTGTGTGCGTGTGTTTTTCACTATAAATCCTTTATATGCGTGGCATCGGTTTTATTTTATTATTCATTTCTGTTTTTCTTGAGTAAGAGTTTCATTTTTATCACATTGGTATTTTAAATTAAATATGAAATATTTTTTTACCTAAAAAGTGTAAAAATTTTGAAAAAAATTTTTTCAGGAAAATAAATTGTCACGCACAACGAGTCTGTGTGCAAAATGTCAGCTCGATCGGATCATGGGAAGTGGGTTAAAAAACGACCGAAAGATTTGCACGGTCGTAAGCACGCAAGCAAGCAAGCTAACTTAATATAAAGGATTTAAACAAGTATAACCCGTAAAAACTAAGTTTTTCACTATAAATCCTTTATATGCGTGGCGGCTAGAGTCCTCTCGTCGTCTGGCTTGAGATGGCTGCCACCTATGGGTCAGATGATTGCGTGGCAGCATTAAGAAATTGGTAATTAAATATAATATTTTTGTCCTAAAAAGTGTAAAATTTTGGAAAAAAAATTTCACGATCATAAATTGTCACGCACAACGAGTCTGTGTGCAAAATGTCAGCTCGATTGGATCACGTGAAGTGGGTTAAAAAACGACCGAAAGATTTGCACGGTCCTAAGCGCGCAAGCAAGTGAACTTAATATAAAGGATTTAAATAAAAAAACATCGGATTTCCGTACGACGTCAGGATAAGCTCCGTTAGCGAGCACCTGCAAAGGCTGCTGGCTGTGGCACAAGAGGGGGGCGGGCGGGCGGTACAACGCCAGGCCACCTTTCTATCCCCGGCGTTTACCTGCAGCTCCTCCGCAGGGACGGTGTCCGTCCGCCGTGTCCCGCACGAGCCGGCGGGCTTGGTGAGGCGCGTCTGGCAGGGGGCGGGCGCCCTGGGGCGGCGAGGACTGGACGGGGGCGAGGGTGGGTGGTCACGCAGCGACGGGATCAATCGTAGTGTGTCCAGTAACAACAAATATGATCATTGGTTTTTTACCCTTCTATCTGGCAACAAAACTGACACCTTTTTTACGAGGAGTCATGTTTGCATTGACCACAATACCTGCAGTCATAATGCAAACAAAAAACATAACTCTGATAATGTATGTGCACTGTCCTTGAAGTTGATTGGTCCACACCCGAGACAGCTTTCCTGAGAGCCTAGTCTCACATGGTGTTGGACCAGATGACGCCAAAAGGCGCACAACTAAAAAAAAGGTGTCAGTTTTGTTGCCAGATAGAAGGGTAAAAAACAATTAGCATATTTCTACTGGCAAATGAGGTTCCAATGGTGTAAATGCTTACCCCGAGCTCTCATACTCTGATGGTGCATTGTCTTTGAGTTGTGCGCCTTTTGGCGTCATCTGGTCCAACACCATGTGAGACTAGGCTCTAAGGAAAGCTGCCTCGGGTGTGGACCAATCAATTTCAAGGACAGTGCATATATTATCAGAATTAATAAAAGTAAAATAAAAGTTTTTTTAGTTTACTTTTATTAATTTAAAATGTATTTTTTACAGTCACCAAAGCTTCAAATCTCGCATCATTATCAGAGTTGGGTGTTTTTGTTTTGCATTCCGACCGCAGGTATTGCGGTCTGTGCAAACACGACTCCTCGTAAAAAAAAGGTGTCAGTTTTGTTGCCAGATTACAGGGTAAACAACCAATGATCAGAGTTAAATATCTCGGTGGGGTCCTGCCCGCTAAAGTAAACAACCAGATTTGAAGCTTTCGTGACTGCAAGGATTCATATTCTTAGGTTTTTTCGGTAAAGTCACCATGTAGGTAAAATATTAAAATTAATAAAAGTAAAAGACGGAAGCTTGTGTTGCCTCCGAAACGTCGTGATTTTTATTTTATTTTACTTTTATTAATTTTTATGTTTTACCTACATGGTGACTTTACCGAAACAACCTAAGAATATGAATCCTTGCAGTCACGAAAGCTTAAAATCTAGAATGAATACCCTCTACGGGGAGGAATTCCACTTCTCTGTTACAGTTTTTAACAGACAACGAGACAAGAAGTCACAGCTTCTCGAGACGCCGGCCTTCCTCAAGAGATGCCGAGATAACAAGGTCATACCCATCGCTTTCACACTCACATACGCTGCTGTGTCCAACCATTATATAAACGGAGTGGTAGCTCCTGCAATCTCTCATTTACTTGATACAGCTGTCGTGGCTGTGACGGTTCCACCTGAGGACGGAAGCTTGTGTTGCCTCCGAAACGTCGTGGTTTTTTATTTTTATTTTACTTTTATTAATTTTAATGTTTTACCTACCTGGTGACTTTACCGAAAAAACCTAAGAAAAGTAACCAACCAGTTTGGCGTTGAAGAGAGCGACTGCCCCCCTCTCACCTGCACGACGGCCAGGTGGGGGTGCAGAGCGGAGAGCGGGCACCCCAACTCCGCCAGGTCCTTGATCTCGCTGGCACGGAAGATGATGTAGTCGTAGATCTCCTCGCGAGGGGCGACGGCGCGCTCGGCGGGGCGACCCTCCGTGCCGCACACACGCACTGCGCACGCACAAAGACGACGCTAACGCCGCTAACGGTGCCGTGGTGGTGGTGGGTGTGTGGGCGCCACGGTGGTGAGAAGTGAACCACCTCGCCTGGTGTCTATCGGAGGTCGCGCTTTTCATCCCAACCCTGGCGTCGGTTTTTGTCTATCACATCGGGTTTTTGAGATGATGTCAAATATTGCATTTTCAATAAAAACTTGCGGAAGAAAAATATTAAGTGAATGTGGATATCTACGTAAAATGATATTGTAAACACACTATCCTAAAAATACAGCACCATGTTTTAACACTAAAGCAGTCACTGACTCGCAACGACTTGCAATCATAAGTGACAGAGTTAATTCGGGTAAAATCAATGAAAATGGGGTATGCCGATAGCATAAAAATGAGATGTGAGAGAGAAAATCTAAGATCAGATTTGGAATCGGCACCCTGAAATTAGTCTAAAACAGCTGCTAAAGTCCAGGCCAGAATTTTTTTGTTGACCAGTGTAACAATACCACAATTCTTCTTGGTTCTTTCGGTAAAGTCACGTAGAATGGAAATAATAAAAAAAATAAACATAAATAATTCTCACGACGTTTCGGCCACAACGCAAGCAGCCGTCCTCAGGTGAAGAACACAAAACTTTAAGATCCTTCAACAAACTCCGGGATAATCGAGTCTCTCACCTTTCTGAAGAGATGCCGCGACTCTAAGCTTAAATAGACGTTCCAAGCCTGGTGGTGTTTCATTTAGACTCTGTCTTCTCGACAGACCTGTTCTTCACCTGAGGACGGCTGCTTGCGTTGTGGCTGAAACGTCGTGACAATTATTTTATTATGTTTTATTTTTATTATTTTATCACTTCCCTTCTACGTGACTTTACCGAAAGAACCAAGAAGACGAATCCCTGCAGTCACGAAAGCTTCACATCGAAAGTTAATCTTAGTAAGCAAATCTGAAAATGTTACAGCAGGAAAGATTGTCACTGTAGTTCAGCTTCACGACTGAGATGAAACAGGAAATATCTCAAATAGCAATGTCCTACACCCACATAACTGAAAAGATATTGGACATGAAATGTAGCAAAATAAAATGATTATATTTTGATTTAAAACTTTCGTGACTGCAGACATTCATATTCTCGGTTCTTTTCGGTAAAGTCACGTAGAAGGGAAACAATAAAAAGAAAACATAATAAATGTAATTTAATTGCTTTATTTTTATTATTCCCCTTCTACGTGGTGACTTTACCGAAAGAACCAAGAAGATTAATCCGGCTGGGTGGGGAGGGGCTGGGTGGGGCTGGGTGGGGGGTGGGAGGGGTGGGGCTGGGTGGGGAGGGGCTGGGTGGGGAGGGAGGGACGGGGTGGGGAGGGTGGGGCTGGGTGGGGGAGGGTGGGGCTGAGTGGGGAGGGGCTGGTCACCCCGTGGTGCCCTTATAAAACTCAACGTTTCACCTACTCACGCCGCCTTGTGCTGCCCGCCCTCACAGTCGGCCATGTTTGCAGAACACAGCACGCCCCACGCCCTGGTCACCGTCGTTGACCCTGGCCAACGTGTTCCTAGCAGCTCCCTCCGCAGGAGCAGGGAAGTGTTTAAACCCTCACCCCCTTTGACCCGTGACCCCCCCCCCACCCCCCCGTGCGTGACCTTTGGCCAAGGCGACGGTGCAGTCGTCCGTGTTGACCCCGCTCAGGGTGCCCTCGTAGCGGATGCCGGCCATGGAGATCAAGCTGGTCCTGCTGCCCAAGCACAGCGTCCACGTGGCCATGATGATGATGCTGCTGCTGATGATGCTGATGTTGATGATGCTGCTGATGATGATTCTGATGATGCTGCTGCTGATGCTGCTGATGATGATGCTGCTGCTGCTGCTGATGATGCTGCTGCTCCTGCTGCTGATGATGATGCTGCTGCTGCTCGTAGCCGCCGCCGGCTCGAGCTGCGGGAGACAACAAGAGGGGAGGGTGGGGCCGGGCAGGAGGAGGTGATGATGGTGATTGTGTTGATGATGTTGTTGATGATGATGGTGTTGTTGATGTTGTTGATGATGATGGTGTTGTTGATGTTGTTGATGATGATGTTGTTGTTGTTGATGTAGTTAATGTTGTTGATGATGTAGTTAATGTTGTTGATGATGATGTTGTTGTTGATGATGTAGTTAATGTTGTTGATGATGTTGTTGTTGGTGGTGATGATGTTGTTGATGATGTTGTTGATGATGTAGTTAATGTTGTTGATGATGATGTTGTTGATGTTGATGGTGATCACCCACGATGCGTCCCGCGTGTTCACGCCGTTTGAACTGAGCTGCTCACCGAGTCGCGTCGTGCAAAGGGCGCCAAATTGTGGGGGAGGGGATTTTTTTCCCTCTTCCTGTCAACGGGGATTCCAAAGAACACAGGATGAGATGTTATTATCCTTTGTGCAAGCACTTCCAAGAGTTCATGAACAGTGAGCCTGGTGAAATTTGGGGAGCGCATCGTCAGTAGTGAACCTTTGGGTCCTAGGGTGTTTCGGCCTTTCATACTATACACCCTCCCCAAAGGCGGCCAGCGACAGGGTGATCAATCCTACGCTTGCGTCCCATTCCCAATTAGTCATAGGAGTTGCCTTGTTGTTGATAGCCAACATCCCATGGGACTATGCATGGCAGGGGCGTCCTCATCCCTGAGTCAAGCATTGTTGACTGCATACCTCCTGGCCCTCTCACTTTGGGGCCCAGCTGGGGTCTTTCCTCTTCATCCAGAGCCACTGACTGCTGCCTTCTGCCGCCTCCGATACAGCTCTGATTGCCGAACGCTGGCTCTGGCCCTTAATTCCCAGGTCTCTAAGCAGTCTGGTTGTAGATGTTGCCACAAAACCTCTGCAGCCCACCTCCACTGGTCGGACTTCTGTGTTCCAGCCATGATGCCGTGCTTCAGCAGCTAGATCGGCATAGCGCAGATGTTTTCGCTCATAAGCCTCATCTACTGAGTCCTCCCAGGGTACTGTGAGCTCAATGATGAAGACCTTCTTGAGCGAACGGGACCAGAGCACCATGTCAGGTCTTAGGGTGGTGGTTGCGATCTCCGGAGGAAACACAAGTTGCCGGCCAATGTCAGCTAGCATTTTCCAGTCGCGGGCCAAGCGCAGCTGGTCTCGCTCTATTGGTGTAGAGCCGCTCTTTGGTGGTTTAGCCCCTTCGCGGACAAAGGTCGTCCGTAAGGGGTGTGATGCTGCTGGGGGTGGTAGGGAGTTGGTGGCAGTTCGCTTGTCCTCCAGGGCGGATGCAAGGTTTTTAAGGACTTGGTTGTGACGCCAAGTGTAGCGTCCTTGGGTGAGGCTTGTTTTACACCCTGTGAGAATGTGCCTGAGGTTGGCTGGCATGGAACAGAGGGCACAGTCCGGATCTTCACCATACCATTGGTGAAGATTAACTGGTGTTGGAAGGACGTCATATGTTGCTCTGATGGAAAAGCTCAACCGCCTCGCTTCCATGGCCCACAGATCCTTCCAGCTGATCTTCCTCTTCTCCACACTGTCCCATCGAGTCCACTGTCCCTGTTTGGCAAGAGAGACTGCCTTGGCCCACCTTGCAGCCTCCTCCTGATGGCGTACTTCCTGCACTACCATCTTCCGCCGCTCTGGTGCATTGGCCTTACTCCAAGCAGCACGGCTAGTTAGTCCAAAGCCTCCTCTCCCTTGCTGAACATGACCCACAATGTCAGCATGTCTGAGGGCTGCTGTTGCCTCCTGGACTGCTTTTCCTGGCCTCCATTTGCGCCCAGTTGCCAAGGTCGGCGCGTTGTTGCTCACCACTGGGTCTCGAGATTCATTCAGTGTCATCTGGAGCCTGGTTTTTGCACACTTGAATTCCTCGGTTAGACTGGTGAGGGGCAGCTTGAGGGGTATTATTTATTTATTTGTTAATTTATTTTTTGGTATTTTATTACATTTTTATATTTTACTATTTTATTATTAATATTGTGTTCCCTATCTACGCGACGTTACCGAAATAAACAAAGAATTGCGCTCAACATCTGTCGGGTCACTTGAGTTCATCCCCAAACCCCGCCCCCCTCGCCCCCCGCCCCCCGCCCCTCACCCCTCCTGGTGGTGGTGGGGGTGGTGGGGGTGGTGGTGGTGGTGGGGGTGGTGGGGGGTGGTGGTGGGGGTGGTGGGGGGTGGTGGGTGGTGGTGGGGGGTGGTGGTGGGGGTGGTGGGGGGTGGTGGTGTTGGCGGGTGGTGGGGGTGGTGGGGGGGTGGGGGTAGTGGGGGTGGTGGTGGGGGTGGTGGGGGGTGGTGGTGGTGGGGGTGGTGGGGGTGGTGGGGGTGGTGGGGGTGGTGGGTGGTGGTGGTGGGGGGTGGTGGGGGTGGTGGGGGGTGGTGGGGGTGGTGGGTGGTGGTGGTGGGGGGTGGTGGGGGTGGTGGGGGTGGTGGGGGTGGTGGGGGTGGGGGGTGGTGGGGGGTGGTGGTGGGGGGTGGTGGGGGTGGTGGTGGTGGGGGGGGGGTGGTGGTGGTGGGGGGTGGTGGTGGTGGGGGGTGGTGGTGGGGGTGGTGGGGGGTGGTGGTGGTGGGGGGTGGTGGGGGTGGTGGTGGTGGGGGGTGGTGGGGGTGGTGGGGGTGGTGGTGGTGGTGGGGGGTGGTGGTGGTGGTGGGTGGTGGTGGTGGTGGGGAGTGAAAAATATTGAAGGGACGATTTTTGACCCCCACCACGTGATGGGGGGGAGGGGCAGTCACGTGATGGGGGGAGGGGCAGTCACGTGGCCACTTGTGGGTGGGGGGAGTTTGTTGGTGTGAGGGCGAGTGGAGGGAGTGGATTGAGGTGCGGAGCGAGAGAGACACAGAGAGAAGGTGAGTGGTGGTGATGGTGGTGGTGATGGTGGTGATGGTGGTGATGATGATGGTGGTGATGGTGGTGATGGTGGTGATGATGATGGTGGTGATGGTGGTGATGATGGTGATGATGGTGATGATGATGGTGGTGATGGTGGTGATGGTGGTGATGATGGTGATGATGGTGGTGGTGGTGATGGTGGTGATGATGGTGATGATGATGGTGGTGATGGTGGTGATGGTGGTGATGATGGTGATGATGGTGGTGGTGGTGATGGTGGTGATGGTGGTGATGATGGTGATGATGGTGGTGGTGGTGGTGATGGTGATGATGGTGGTGATGGTGGTGGTGGTGCTGATGGTGGTGATGATGGTGATGATGGTGGTGATGGTGGTGATGATGGTGGTGATGGTGGTGATGATGGTGATGATGGTGGTGATGATGGTGATGATGGTGATGATGGTGGTGGTGGTGATGGTGGTGATGATGGTGGTGGTGGTGGTGGTGATGATGGTGATGATGGTGGTGGTGGTGATGATGGTGATGATGGTGATGATGGTGGTGGTGGTGCTGATGGTGGTGATGATGGTGGTGGTGATGGTGGTGGCGGTGATGGTGGTGGCGGTGATGGTGGTGGTGATGGTGGTGGCGGTGATGGTGGTGATGGTGGTGATGCTGGTGATGGTGGTTGAGGTGGAGGTGGTGGTGGTGATGGTTGTGGTGGTGGTGGTGATGGTGGTGGTGGAGGTGGTGGTGATGGTGGTGGTGGAGGTGGTGGTGATGGTGGTGGTGGTGATGATGGTGGTTATGGTGGTGATGGTGGTGATGGTGGTGGTGGTGGTGATGGTGGTGGTGATGGTGGTTGAGGTGGTGAGGGTTGTAAAGGTGGTGATGGTGGTGATGATGGTGTTGGTGATGGTTGTGGAGGTGGTGATGGTTGTGGAGGTGGTGATGGTGGTGGTGATGGTGGTGGAGATGGTGGTGATGGTGGTGGTGGTGATGGTGGTGGTGATGGTGATGATGGTGGTGGTGGTGATGGTGGTGATGATGGTGATGATGGTGGTGGTGGTGGTGGTGATGATGGTGATGATGGTGATGATGGTGGTGGTGGTGATGATGGTGATGATGGTGATGATGGTGGTGGTGGTGATGATGGTGATGATGGTGATGGTGGTGGCGGTGATGGTGGTGGCGGTGATGGTGGTGGCGATGGTGGTGGCGGCGATGGTGGTGGCGGTGATGGTGGTGGTGATGGTGGTGGTGGTGATGGTGGTGGCGGTGATGGTGGTGATGGTGGTGATGCTGGTGATGGTGGTTGAGGTGGAGGTGGTGGTGGTGGTGGTGGTGATGGTGGTGGTGGTGGTGATGGTGGTGGTGGAGGTGGTGGTGATGGTGGTGATGATGGTGGTTATGGTGGTGATGGTGGTGATGGTGGTCGTGGTGGTGATGGTGGTGGTGATGGTGGTTGAGGTGGTGAGGGTTGTAAAGGTGGTGATGGTGGTGATGATGGTGGTGGTGATGGTTGTGGAGGTGGTGATGGTTGTGGAGGTGGTGATGGTGGTGGTGATGGTGGTGGAGATGGTGGTGATGGTGGTGGTGGTGATGGTGATGGTTGTGGAGGTGGTGATGGTTGTAGTGGTGGTGATGGTGGTGGTGATGGTGGTGGTAGTGATGATGGTGGTTATGGTGGTGGTGATGGTGGTGATGGTGGTGGTGATGGTGGTGGTGGTTGAGGTGGTGATGGTTGTAAAGGTGGTTATGGTCGTGGTGATGGTGGTGGTGATGGTCGTGGAGTTGGTGATTGTAATAGTGGAGGTGATGGTGGTGGTGATAGTGGTTGTGGTGGTGATGATGATGGTGGTTCGAGGTGGTGGTGGTCGTGGTGGTGCATTCACTACCTTAACAGTACTCGCTCTGTCTCTCTCTCCCCATCCCTCCTCATCTCGCCCCATCTCTCTCCCCGTGTCTCTCTCCACCGTGTCTCTCACTCTCCACCTTGTCTTTCTCCCCGTGTCTCTCCCCGTGTCTCTCCCCCCGTGTCTCTCCCCGTATCTCTCTGTACGTAATGTGCATACACAGCACCACGTACAGTGTGCACTGTGCACACAGCACCACGTACAGTGTGCACTGTGCACACAGCACCACGTACAGTGTGCACTGTGCACACAGCACCACGTACAGTGTGCACACAGCACCACGTACAGTGTGCACTGTGCACACAGCAGCACGTACAGTGTGCACTGTGTACACACAGCAGCACGTACAGTGTGCACTGTGTACACACAGCACCACGTACAGTGTGCACTGTGTACACAGCACCACGTACAGTGTGCACTGTGCACACAGCAGCACGTACAGTGTGCACTGTGTACACACAGCACCACGTACAGTGTGCACTGTGTACACACAGCAGCACGTACAGTGTGCACTGTGTACACACAGCAGCACGTACAGTGTGCACTGTGCACACAGCACCACGTACAGTGTGCACTGTGCACACAGCAGCACGTACAGTGTGCACTGTGTACACACAGCAGCACGTACAGTGTGCACTGTACACACAGCAGCACGCACAGTGTGCACTGTACACACAGCACGTACAGTGTGCACTGTACACACAGCGGCACGTACAGTGTGCACTGTGTACACACAGCACCACGTACAGTGTGCACTGTACACACAGCAGCACGCACAGTGTGCACTGTACACACAGCGGCACGTACAGTGTGCACTGTACACACAGCGGCACGTACAGTGTGCACTGTGTACACACAGCACCACGTACAGTGTGCACTGTACACACAGCAGCACGTACAGTGTGCACGGTGCGTGCGGTACAGTTTCAGTGTGCGCGGTAAGTCACTATTGTGCATGCAATATAGCCTCACAGAAGCAGGTGGAGGAGGTGGTGAGCGTGGTGGTGGTGAGGGTGGTGGTGGTGGTGGTGATGGTGGTGGAGGTGGTGGTGATGGTGGTGATGATGATGGTGGGGGGTGGAGGTGGTGATGGTGGTGGTGATGGTTGTGGTTGTGGAGGTGGTGATGGTGGTGGTGGTTGAGGTGGTGGTGGTTGTGGTGGAGGTGGTGGTTGTGGTGGAGGTGGTGATGGTGGTGATGGTGATGATGGTGATGGTGGTGATGGTGGTGATGGTGGTGGGTTTCGTGACTGCAGGGATTCATCTTCTTGGTTCATTCGGTAAAGTCACGTAGAAGGGAAGTAATAAATAATACAAATAAAACATAATAAAACAATTCTCACGACGTTTCGGCCACAACGCAAGCAGCCGTCCTCAGGTGAAAACCAGGTCTGTCGAGGCGACAGCGTCTGAGGACGGCTGCTTGCGTTGTGGCCGAAACGTCGTGAGAATTATTTTATTATGTTTTATTTTTATTATTTTATTATTTCCATTCTACGTGACTTTACCGAAAGAACCAAGAATATGAATACTTGCAGTCACGAAAGTTTCAAATCTAGAATTAGTGAAGCCCTGTTGATGATCCCCAGCGAACAGCCCATGGGTAGCGCCCAGCCTCATTCTAGATTTAAAGCTTTGGTGACTGCAATGAGTCGTACTCTCTGGTTTTTTCGGTAAAGTCACGTAGGTGAGAAATCTAAATTAATCAAAGTAATATAAAAATATAATTTACTTGATACAGCAATCGTGCTGTGACGGTTCCACCTGAAGACGGAAGCTTGTGTTGCCTCCGAAACGTCGTGATATTTTAAAATTCGTTGGGGGGATGCAGACGCCTGCGATGGATTTTTATTGATAAATTATCGACGATGACGACCCGCTAGGGATGTGATCTCACCACTTGTGAGAGAAAACGTGAGGTAAGGAGTGTCCTCTAACGTCCAGTCCGTGATTTGCAGATGATTTGCAGGTGCAGTGTTGAGTCTATGGGGCAGTGTTGAGTCTATGGGCAGTGTTGAGTCTATGGTGCAGTGTTGAGTCTATGGGCAGTGTTGAGTCTATGGTGCAGTGTTGAGTCTATGGTGCAGTGTTGAGTCTATGGGCAGTGCTGAGTCTATGGTGCAGTGTTGAGTCTATGGGCAGTGTTGAGTCTATGGGCAGTGTTGAGTCTATGGTGCAGTGTTGAGTCTGTAGGGGTGTTAAAGAGAGGGCCCGTTATGCATGGCAGCCTATGGAAAACAAACACAGTGGGCGGGGCTACGTAAGTACACGAGGAGGTGCCCTCTACGACGTCCGAGCCAGACACCCTGGGGGGGGCTGGTTCGAACGTTATGATCCCCCGGGGCCCCACCCCTCAGGGAGGGGTTGGGTATAAAAGGGGATGTTCAAAGGGCTCGAGTCAGTTATGTTTAAGCTAAGGGAAGAAGACTGAAGACGTCTTAGATAGAGCCCTGGACTCCCCTAGTTCGATGTCCTTTTCAGGGCCGGACAGGACTGAGCCAGCGGCGTGGTCCCGAAAGCCAGAGCCGGTGCTCTTGTAAGAGCTGGTCTGGAACTCCGGGTACCGGGCCCGACTTACCAGTGTCGGGCCAGTTAGCCTCCCCTAGCCCATTAGTGGAGGATTCGGGGCTAGGACAGAGTTAGCTAGGGGTGTATCCCGAGTTATACGGGTGAGGGGGCCGATACCCCCTCGAGTGTGTATATGCCCACTGTCGTATTGTGAAATAAATATACGTGTGCCTCAACCTCGGTGTCAAGCGTCTTCACCGGTACTTCAACTGGTGTCAGAAGTAATTCGAACATGGACACGCGGAAAACAGCGCGGGCAAAAGTACCGCAGGAGGAAGACACTGCCGAGATCGTCGAGCCCGAGACGGCTCCACAAGACATGGTGCAGCCGGGGCCTGACGCCTCCTTACCGGGGCATCGAAATGAAGAGGGGCCGCAGTCAGACGCGTTACGGCTGGCTCACGGGAGGCTGGCGGAGCTGCTGTATGCCGCTGCCGCCACGCTGGAGACCATCACGCGATTGGGGGCCGGTGATCCAACACGGGGCGAGGCGAGCCAACGACCAGGGCGCCTTCCCGCCATTTCGGAGCAGTC